GAAAGGGCCAAGCAGCAGCGCGAGCACGAGCACGCGAGGCAGCAGCCTGGGTCCCAGCTCTTCAGTTGCTTACACTGATTTCGGAACAGGACGGCAAGGAGTTCGTTCGTTCAAGTAATACCATACTGGAGAGGCCTCTATTTTACCGTTTTGGTCACGCCTCTTCGGCTGAGTGGTTTGGCTTCGTGGCCATGGCAGTTTGCTGAGCTCGACTTCGGCATTACCGTAGTGTAGGGGCCTTGGAGATAGGAATGGTGCTCCTTGTTAGCGTTCCTTATTATCAGTGTACTAGAAGACACCCGAAACCCTCTTCGAATTGTTCAGCCCCCCTTATTGACATTTTGGTTCATCGTTTCCGGCTTGGGTTCCATCTTGCACTCAACCTCCACGCAGAAGTGCAGGAGAATAGTAGTCATCACGAATAGATTCAGAAACATTTGTCCGCGAAGAAGGGAATCATATTGCCAGTAGTACCCGTACATACTAATGACACTTGGATAGTAACAATAATGATGAGACACAGCACTGAACGTCTCGATTTGGGTCGCAGAACGTTGCGCCGTTTCTCCGAGACACGGTGTAGGGAACGCCTAACATGTCGGTTCACTCGGTGCCTTTGAGGCACCCTTTGTGAAGGCTTGAGTGGTTTAGGGGGTCGCTTGTGATTTTATGGTACTGTTGTTTTCAGGCTGTGGGGGGGGGGGGGGGGTGTAAGGTAGACTCAAATTTTTTCAGCTCAAGCCACCCGTTGCCACGACCGCGAACTCCTGTCGAGACGACGACAGACCTTCAATGTAAAGCTTTCAAGCTAGATAGTTGTCGCGGTCTCGCGCAGCCAAGCTCCACACCTTTGACCAACGTCACCAAAAAGGCTGCGCCTTTGAAGCCTCCTAGACCCTAAACCCTAAAGCCCAAACCCTTATAAACCCTAAGCGCCTAAACCCTAAACCCCTCTGAGTCCTGCATCTGCCCAGGCAGCCAACGGAGCGGATCTTGCCAGCCACCCTCGCTTGCAGGGCCTCATCGAGTTTTGGGTCTACCGTGTGCCTTCAGCCTGGCACCTGCACGCACCCACTATCAGATATACTATGGTACACTCATGTCTTCTGCTGTGTACCGGTGCTGGCAGCATATGAGAGGATCGCTGTCGTCCTCGCTGCACCCCGCTGAACGTGCCCGACACCATCACTTCTGCTTTGGCTCCCGCAGACCCATGTAGACACATGAAGGAACTCCGGAAGGGGCTCTACTCCGGAGGCCCTTGCAAGCCCCAAAAAAGCCCCGTTTCTGAAGGACTCCTCATAGACTCTTGCGCTGCGTTTGCTGCCATGATCTCCCGCATCGCTCGGGTCGCAGCATCGCGAGGGCGGCTGGGCCTTGCAGGCGGACCCTCTCTGTGCTTAAGCTCCAGGCCTAAACCCCCAAAGAAAGCCCTGAGTTTTCTGGCCCTGCGTTTCTACCGACAAAGCTGCAACAATGCTAGCAGACTGAAAGAAAGCTGCGTTTTCGAGACTGTTGAACTACTTGGTTTAAGGCCGACGTTTCGGATTTCCCCGAGGACTTGCACAGGCTTACAAACATGATGCTCGATACTTTGTGCACAATGTGTTACTGTCTCGGCCTTGCAAATCTTGACCTGATGCCCATTTGGCTTGTCTCGTCAATATACCGAGGCAGGAGAAACTAGCTAGCCACTTATCTTACACCCCAAAAGCCGCTTATGAACACGTAACAGCCGATGCTTTCAGGAACCCGGGGTTGAAGCAACAGGTGCCACGACATCTCTTTTAGCCTTTGGCCAGTACGCCGGGGTCGCTGCTGATGCATGGAAAGCTTTGTGCAAGGGTTGTTGCATGTTTGGGCTTCACGCCCGTGCAAAACCTCCAACATCGGCCGCAAGAGGCAACCCTAAACCCTCAGCGTCCAGCCTTGCTGCCATCAGGTGCTGGGCTCACTGCCGGGGCCGTTGGAATTGCCGCTGCTGGCGATGAAGGCGCCAACGGGTTCAAACTGTGGGCGTGAGTAGGTGCATTCATGCGTCGCCTGCAAACGACCGCACGAAGAACCTGTAAGTGGAGAGCCAGGGCCCTTGATGTGGCTTTGACAGTTTGATTCATGTTTCATCAACCCTGATTTCGGACAGCTCTGGCTTAACTATTCAGTTTATTCGAACCTCGTCTGTGCCTGATTGCGGCCTTAAAGCACCACATAGTTCGACAGCCAGACCACGAGACTAGATTCGGCAGAGTACGAGTTATGAGAGCATATACTCGGGTGAGAAAGCTTCAGCGCCGTTCACCAACAAAAGGACTCTGGATGCCAGAAGAATGCAGACCCCTGATCGGTGACCCCCTGCTCAAAACGGGCATCTCGTGACACCTGTTAGGGGGGCGGAGGGGCAGGGAGTTATCAATCGACGCGCTGCAGTACTTGTACCTCCGTTACTGTATGAGCCGGTTTGATAGCTACGCTCCTATGTATACCAGAGAGACGAGGCAACCCCAAAAAGCAACTGCTCTAGATACATTAGTTAGATTCTCCAGTGTCGCACTTCCTTGGAGGATTTCGCAGGTGCCTGCAGTTCTGGATTGTCGTCCTGCCCATCTTTGCACACTACAAGTTCTTCGGCCGCTCTTGAAATAGTTGTTTGCCTTGGCCCTACCATTGTAGCATATTTTTACCGTATATTGCTCAAAGGGCTTCCCTTAACAGCTCAGGTTTGTGGATGGCATTCTTCACCCAAGTCCATGCCAAGAGAGAACAGAGGCGTTTGACTCTGGACTGCACTGGCAGTTTTTGGAAGTTAAACCCTCATCTCGACCTTTGCTACACTTCAAGGAGAGGCTACATGATTTCTATTCTCCCATTGTGCGGGCGGCCACCTTGAGACTGCGCGGCTACTATCTGAAAGTGGCACAGTTCCTCTCTATGCAACCTGGAGAAATGACTATGTTCGAAGCCTTGAGGTTGCACCAAACCCAAACTGGGTCCTTGTTAGGGGATTTTTATTTAAGTTACCATAATGGGGATCTATAGTAAATAATATGGTTTCATTGTTATGGTAACTGAAATCAAAATCCCTTAAAAAGAACCCAGCAAACTGCACGGGTGCTGTTTGGGATTGAAGCTTTGGCCAACTGGATATGGGAGTTTCCAAAAATAGGGGGTACCTTACTTAGGGGTCCTTCTACTAAATCCTACTATTTAGGGTACTATATTAGGGTCCCTAAACCCTAAACCCTAAACCCCAAACACTATAAACCCTAACCCCTAAACCCTAAACCAACTATATTAGGATCCTACTATTTAGGGTACTATATTAGGGCCCCCTATTTTCGGAAACCCCAAACCCCAAACCATAAACCCTAAACCTTAAACCCTAAACCCTAAAACCCTAAACCCTAAACCAACTATATGAGGGTCCCCTATTTACGGAAACCCCCATATCGTTTTTTCAGGCGGGGTTTTGGATCGTCAGAAGTCGAGGGCTCCTGGACGATGCACGGTTTGGGGTTGAGGGTTGAGGGTTTAGGGTTTAGGGTTTAGGGTTTCGGGTTTAGGGTTGAGGGTTTCGGGTTTAGGGTTTAGGAACTGACGTGGGAGCCGACCCCAGGCGAAGTGCGAAGCCTGTTGCAAAAGGGTTTAGGGACAAGCAACCAGTTCCACTCGATGCCCGTCTGTTTTTTTGTTGCTTTAGGCTTCAAGGCGAAACTTGTCCATGCCGTACTGCATTCGACTCAACACCGTCCCTCAGAGATCACATCTCCAAAGTTGGTCGAGCTGCTGTTCAGGGGGATTCTCGGGCCGAGAGACCTGAGTAGAAACTGGAATTCACCAAATACTACTTATATATATATATATTAATTATGTTTCTCCATACATATAAATATAAATAAATAAATAAATAAATATACATATATATATGTATATATATGGAGACAGTCGTCGAAACGGCTGCATCCAAGTAGATATCCGCCCAGCCCTCGCACCCCGACAGAAAGCTTCGACACTTAGAGGCGCCTTCTCCAGGGCTGCCTCTCAGAAGGATCACATAATAAAGTCTAATATACTATAATAATATAATATAATATGAGATATTATAGCATAATATAGTATAATATAAAGTAATAGAATAGAATATAACATAATTCCTGATTTTGAGAGCTTCTGCTGCAAAGAACCCTGCGGGCCGAAGGCGGGATGATTACATCCCTCCACAGTATCTGGCCTGGGCCAAGAAGCTCCAGGAGACTCCGCGGTGCTCTTGAAAAATACGCTCCATGCTACGGTTGATGATATAAATCCTGCAGTACCCATCAGAAGGAATGTGCCACAATTCCCAAAGTTTAGGGCCCTTAAAGTAATGTAGGATTTATATCGCTTTATATCATCAACAGTAATGAAAAAAGCTTCGCTTCAAGTGGCATGATTGCAGTTTCGAAGTAGCATCCGAGCTGCAGATCACGGTGGCATGCTGCACCGAGCATGAAGTTAGCCAAGGCCCCAAAACATCCCATTGGGTTTAGGATTTAGGAAGATCTGGGAGGATGAAGCGCCGGTGTCGCTGAGTTCAACAGAGGCTCGGCAGTTCATCGCCGCAGAGCTCGGCTTGAGTGAGCCGCAAGGCGACCTGCCTTCAAAGGCTTTGAGAAGCCAGGGGAGGTTGGGGGGACTCTTCAAAGCAGTATGTCGGGTTTGGAGCTTCGAGGTTCTTACAACCCTGAACCCGAAGACCCTGAGGGTACACTTCTCCACCTTCCATATCTTGCCATCCCTCCAAAATCTGCATCACGAAATGTTTTCCTATGCAGGGACGGAGCAACCTCCCCAGCGTGCACACATGCACGCATGCATGGGTGGGTGGGTGGGTGGGTGGGTGGGTGTGTCTCTGTGTATATGTATACACACACACATATATATATATCTCTCTGTGTGTGTGTGTATGTGTGGGTGCATGTGTATATGTGGGTGGGTGTGGGTGCGTGCGGGCGTCGATTGGTGCATGCATGGCTGCCGTCATGTCAGTTGAAGCGCAGGAGACGAGCGAGCCAAGTGTGCAATACCCGACCCACCCACCCACCCCCATTGCGCGCGAGTGCTCGTAGGTGTATATATATATATCTGTGTGTGTGTGTAGAGTATGCGCATGTGGTACAAGGCCGGGTATACAACCCGGCACGCAAATGCCAGTTGGTGAGCTGCTGGTCTGCCAAAGCAGCCACAAGCACGTCCAGCATGTGAGCCTTTGGCCCTTTATCACAAACTCGGCGAGGGGTTTGCAAGGATGCTCTAAGCAGGTAAGCAGAGAGTATTCATCTGGCTCTGCAATGCTAAGCCGCTAAGCTGAGAAGAGGGTCGAACACACGCATGGTCCGGTGATGCAACGCAAAGGCTCACAGACGAAACACATTGACAGGCACATGTGCTAAGCCACTAACAATAACGTTTGCACCCCCCCTACACAGACACAAACACACACACAGAGAGATACACAGAGACACAGAAATGTACACATATATATATATACACACATTTACATACATCCCAGTCTCTCTCTCTCTCGCTCTTTCTCGCTCTGTCAGAGCTCCCAAATGCCAGTATTCGGCCGAACCTTTCCTTGAGGCCTTGATGCCGTGTTCGAGGACTGGAGCCCCCTGCCCATCGGCTCTGCTTCGATTGGACAAGCGCTTGGCCTAATATAAGGGTTGGAAAACGATGACAATACAGGGTTTTAGTAGGGTTCAGAATAGATAGTAACCAGATAGTAGTAGTACAAGGAGTTTAGTCCCGGTACATACATACATACATACATACATACATACACACACATATATATATATATGAATTTTGAACATAATTTAGCTACAATAGACCAGACTCCGAAGCCTTATTCTAATTGCTAATGCCCCTGTATACTAGTAAGATCCAGAAGCTACGGTGGGACAAAGAGAGACTGAAGCAGAGACGGTTTCGCCACAGTCCACTGTCCTTTGAAGTTCCGCAATCGCGAGTTACGGCGCCACATGTCCAGACCATAAACCTGCTGGGCATCATGATCAGCTATCCGCTGCTGCGGATTGACCCGTGTTGCTGTCCTGGCTAATTATTCAACAGACAGTCTAAACACAGATTCTTCCACGATCGATTGTGTTCTGGCAGAAAGACTTAGGTGTATCTCGCTAAGTTGCGATCCAGCCGTGAGCGAGTCGCCGTGAAGGCGCGCTGATGTCAATCAAGGCTGCTTTTGACGGTAGGGTTGTGAAGTCATGCCGATCGGTGACAGTCGGTTTGGCTTGGTTGCTAGGGTGGCCGTGGCCCCTCTTTTGGCCGAAGCATGGCCGCTGAGCCCAAGCTCTGAGCAAATGCCCGCTCGCCCAAAACAGCATCTCCAGCAGGTATTTTCGTGGAATTAGCAAACCCTGCATTCCAGGAGTAGGGCCTTCTGATCATGGGAGTGGAGCATGGGCTTGCCGATCTCGAAGCCGCGCATACTGTTAAATCATGCTCCAACAGCAGAAAGGCATCACGGACCTGTGGGAGCTACTGAGGTACAGATGCCTGGCGCCGAGCACCTGTTCCGAGTGGATATCAAGACGCTCAAGTTATTCACCAGCTCCTTTGTGATCATTTAGAAGAAATTGCCACTGAATGCTATTGATGCTTTACCTCGCATCTACGAAGCTCATTAACCTGGATTCACGGTGCTAAGCCCTGGAGCATGTTTTCTTGCTAATGAACGATGCTGCTCTGATTAGGTTCATGATGCACGCTGCTGCATGGCTTGGGTTTTGCCCAGGCTTTGCGTTTCCCTGGGCAGTGGACCACATGAATGAGCTGGAGGCCATGTTCGAGTCTGAGTTCGACTACGCTTTAGAGCGTGACGCCTTGAAGCAAATTCTCACGGACCATGCATGTTGCGTTCTCTGCTGGCAGGAAGCGAATCTTCACTCCCATACACACATACACACCCACCCACCCACCCACCCACCCACCCACCCACCCACCCACCCACCCACACCCACACACTTTGGCACAGCACGAAGGACTGGGACGAGCTACTGACAGGATGACATAGAAGCTTCACTCTAGAATCTAGAATTGGTTACTCAGGCCAGATATCACCACGCACTGANNCAGTGTCTTCGTTGGGCAGTGACTGTCATGCATGCACTGCCCGCCTGCAGCAAAATTGTTCTCTCACTCAAAGAAAACTGGACTGCAGCAAAACGCTGGTGCAATCCAAAAGAGAGTATGTGGCAATCGATCGTCACGTGCAGGCGTGTACATACACACATGTTCTGTACCAGGGCTGCAGCAGGTTCGTGACCTTTTAACAGAAAGGCCAGTCAGCAGACAGAGATGCTTCTGCGAAGTCATCGATTGGCACTCTTGGATCATGCAGGCTGTAGGGCAAGGCCCAGCCGCAAAGTTAGTTTGGCCATGCTACCTGCAGCGATTACGCATGCGCTGCGAAGGTGAATTCGGGCTGCCCTCACTATCCGTATTGAGAGGTCTGTTTTCACCAGCTTTGGTTCTGATCCACATGCGTGTCACCTGGAACCACTGCCACCAGTGCGGCTGCGATCTCTGTCTGCCATCTTGTTGTAGATGTTGCGGCTGCGGATGAACACAGTGCAAAAGAAGACATTGCGATGCAATTGCAGGTTCAGTGGCGCACTTTATCCAGCGCATCACTGACCACTCGAGATGGATAGGTGGATAGGTGATTTGACGCGACGTGTTTCCATGAACGGAAGGAGTTCGATGTCAATGTAGACCCTTTTCGATCAGAGGTGATTTATGCCAGTCGAACGTCTTGTTGACGCGGCCGCTGACTTTTGCCGCATCGGAGGTGTTGAAGCTGATGTTCCGCTGTGCAAGGGCCAACATCGGTTTGACCCGAATCTTGGCGATGCTGCCCAATCGGGCAGTGGTTGCAACGTCATGATGGGGACAATGCAAAATCACCGTCCAGGAGTATCTAGCTTCGATCGTCCGGAGCTGGGGAACAAAACCCATCCTGTTGCTTTCGAGAGCTTGTTCGATGAGTTGCGTGGCGATCTCCCAATCAAATGTCCGAAGTCGGATGGCCGATGTTGTCCAATCGGTCACACCTACATGAAGCTGGAGGCGGGTGAGGTAGCTGCCCACCCTTTCCATGACATCATGAGGCAAAGCTTGCATCCTTTCAATTTAATGAGCAGCAAACACACAAGTGTCACAAGTGCTACGCTGGAGCCAGTTCACCTGAAGTAGGAACAAGCTTATAGCAAAGACAACGGCAACGTAAGATGTGCACGGGCGGTTTATTCTGTCATCCACGTGGCTACCGAGGCACAGATGGAAGCTTAATCCGCAGACAAGAAGCATCAATGCACGTTAACCGGGGCAATGATGCGATGTGCTTTCATATGCGGAAGGAGTCCGATGTCCATGTCGATGCACTCGAGACCGGCGGACTTGTGCCAATTGAACTTCTTATCCACGCGACCACTGAGAATTGAAAAATCCCACGGTGGGGAAAGCGCGCCGAGCTCAGTTCAACAGAAGTTCCCAGCGACTTTCATGCTGACGCCGATGAAGAGTATCGGGTCTCTGAGCGAGGTGTAGCCATTCCCAAGACATATCCTGAGCTGTGCAGCCGCCGCGTTCTCTGCATGGAACCTTGGCTGGCCTTAGAGCCTTTGCTCGCGGATTAAGCCGGCATAGCAGAGTTCGTCCAATTCCTGTTGGTCGTGGTTCTGTTGACATACATGCAAATTTCACATATGCATAGTCGCACAGACCGTAGGCATGAAGGTAGAGACACGCACACACACAGACATGGGCGCACAGACACCACACACACACTCATGTACAGACAGGCAGACAGACACACACTGACTGAAAGACGCACGGTGACGGTAATGATTTGTACTGTTGACACAGATGCGACAGTCGTGCCATGGTGGTCCATGCGTAGCTGACCAATCCACACTAGACCAACGACGCACGCCCAACCACACACGTTCACGCACAAACACCAACAGATGGATGTCATTGTTCTTTTGCAGCACGTACGGGATAGGGGGGCGACATCCTATACAACTCAAGCCCGAAAATGACAGGATGTGTGCAAACTTCCAGGCAGAACCTTACAAGCACGGTAGTCGAGCCCGAAGTGAGATATATCCAGGAGTACCTCGACGGAGAGAAGCTGGTAGATGGCATGCTCCGGCGCGTTCGCGCCCTAGCAGCGAAAGCTGGCCAAGATCCAGATGAGACCTTGGGCTTAGTTTTAAGTGCCTCAAAGTTGAAAGGTCGGCTCTTATCCTGCGTGCTGCACGCCATCGTCCCTCAATCCTAGCAGCTCCTAGCAGGAAGTTTTGAGGCTGCCAACTTGTGGCAGAGCCGCCCCGTAATGTTCTGAAGTTCAACGGCCCCGTCGAACGGAGTTCTGCCCACATCCTTGATTGCCTGGGTCTCCTGGATTCTGGTTAGAGCTTTGCACCTGAATCTCTCCGGTCGTAGGTACGAGTAGCAGGACTTGCGGGTCTATGATATAGAAGCCTGGGTATCTGTTGACACTAACCCCTTTTATCTGCTGTATCCGCATACAGTGACATACCCCAAGCCAAAAAATCAGCTTAGGGTCATCGCCAACCACCTCGACAGCCTTCGCACGGGCAAGCTGATGCCACGAAGCGCAGCATGACATTCCATTAAATTTCATTTTAGGTTTCAGTCTGTTTTTGTTGTCCTTTGAGATCTGTGGTGACAACCCTAGCTCGCCGACGCCGCAAAGTCTAAGCGATGCTTGTATCCCTGCAACGACGCCGCGAAGGCCTGCTGTTGCTTTTTGGCATGTGGCGGAATGATTGGGTCCCTCGGAGGGTGGCAACAGTTCATGGCTGCTGCTAAACTTGCAGCCGGTTTCAGCGAGCTCGAAGGTGTGCAGGATATGACGCGACATATCTAACATTTCATGACTTCGAATCGGGATATCGCCAGACAAACCTGTCCCAAACGACAGCTCTGCTGTTCTCTCTCACTACAGAGATTTAGCACATTTCTCATGCACCTGCTTGTTGGCATTGCTTACAGCCGCGAATAGACGCTACAGAAGTCCCCAGCTGCCAGGTGCGGATATTTTTCAGGCAACGTATAAGCTTCCAGTTTGAGCGTCCGGTAGTGGGGGATCAGCTGGCATGTTCCCCGGTTCCTCCATTCAGTGCAGGGGGATTGGAAAACTGCGAGACGCAGTTTCCAAAAATCGCGATCTCACCGCAGCCCCCTGCATTCCAAGAGTTCAGCACCGTTGTTGCGTTCGAAGAACTGGACGTGTCTCAAACCTTAGCACACTCGTTTTTGCTACTTTGTTGTTGTGTCGCAATCATCACCGTCATGCGGGGTTTGTAGTTTGGTCTGTATGGCCTTTTGCGTGTGCCGTTTGGGCGTTTTCGTTGGAAGTTCCAATGGTTCGCAGCTGCCACCTTTCGGAAAAGAGGCGTTTCGCGTCACTCAGGCCTATGTGGCACGTTGGCGTGCCCGGGCATGGCAGGCATCGTTGTCAATGAGGGGTTGCGGATAGGCTGACTTACAACACTTCGAACGCCGTTTGCTCATATTGGCGGCTCCGAACTGCACATGCAGAATTCCGACCTACATCGGGCTGTAACGAACGGACCTGTCGCTTCTCGCGCTAAAGTTTCGGAAAGCTGTTCGTCTGCACTCCGGCCCTTGTATACTTGAGTGTTTATGGACTTAGGAAGCCTTTCAGAGACTATAGGGGTGCAGAGTACAGTCTATAGCTGTGGTAACCCCTCCCCACCCGGCTAGCATTGGCACCTCGCTACCCCTTCACCATAGAACGTCACTGACGTCATCGGCTGGCGATGTAGGAGTTTGCTGCACAAACTCAGCCCTGCGGAGTAGGAATTGGAGTGGAGGGGATAGACATGCGAAACGACAAGGTACCACAAGGTACCATAGATCGCCTGCGCTGCAAGTACATGGGTAAGGCACCTTCTGCGAACTCCAACCCCCTAAACTGGGTCAAGAGCTGAATGGGAGGTGTGGCAGCGACTGCAGGGCATAGAGGATGTCAACATCCCGGGGCTGATGGAGACGCCGCCCGGCTCTTCTTGCAAATTTTTTCTCCTTGGTCGTTTCGAGCGGGTGAGAGCTTTCGTAGTTTAGGCCTGTTCTGGCGCTGTGCATTTCTGAATTGAGCCGAAGGCGTATGCTGAATTTCTGGAGACTGCCTTTAAGCAAGACCTTGCACCGAGGCTCCTTCGACCACAGGTTACATGAGGTCTGAAGCCACCCGACGTGTAGAACTCCTTCAGGCTCGAAGGCTCAATGAAGTTCCGGGGACGGTCGATCACAGACCCCAGAGGCCCCTGAGCATCGTAAGCTTGAGCGAGTTCTCCCCCTTTTTGTCATCTTTATCGAAAGCTGAGGCTCATGACTATCCATGCGGAGCAGGTCTTTTCCGACGGCCTCTTCAACGCCGATCCCCATCCTGGGAACGTGCTTCTGCTCAAGGTCGGGAGGTTGTGAAAAGAGAGTCCTTTCCTGTGGCATTTTGTGAACGAAGAAGCTCAAGCTCATCTTGGACCCGAGCCGTGCTCCGTGGGTGACCCTGCAGGATACTTCGCGACTCGTTGGTCTCACCGATTTCGGCCAGGTGAAGGATGTTGGCTCACGCTTGGGTACTTGTGAGTGTTTTTGTTTGGTAGCTCAAAACACAGCAGACAGCAAGACTCCTGTCACCTCGTCTGACCATCCTTGCTTTGTTGCGGCACGGCTTGCAACATGTGCAACAGTCGCGTCGCTTTCCATCTGCGATGTCCGCAACTCAAGTATTCTTCCTTAGGGTTCCGAAAGCCCTATACCAGGCCCTTATAGCAACCCCCATACCAGTAGAATCTTCAAGGAACCCTGTTCTAATTGTTCAGGCCCCTACACTACCGAAGCTCGTGGCCAGGAGTTGTCCATCGATTTCCGGATCCAGCTCGCCAAGCTGCCCGTTGGCTTGAAGTGATTTCGTCGAAGGATTCGCGCAAGGGGTCTGCTCGCAATGATTGTTGATAGGGTGTCTCTTGCGGTTGACGGCTTTTTGTTTGGAAGGTCTCCTTAGGTTCATTTGTTTAACTTGGTTTGTGTCATTCATAGAGTTTCATAAGGGCTTTGGTCAGGACTTGACCGGTAGTGTTCGTGAAACGCCAGCCTACCTCAACCCAACCAGATTAAGGGCCTCCAAATGCGAGATAAAGGTACAGATTGATGAAGGATCCCTGATCCCTTGCATAATCACTGTCTCCTACTTGGGATTCTCTACCACCTGCCTTGATCACACCTGTTGAGACCCTTGACAAACAAAAAGTCGAGCAGTGGGTTTTGGAGTCGAGCGGCAATCGATACGATGGCTTTGCGTGCGGAAGAAGGATGCCCCAGAGTAGCCTATGCAGTTTCTACAGGCCAGACTGGCCATCCCATGAGCTGAAAGCTCTCATCACGGGATGCTTTGCTTGGAAGAGGCAAGCGCCGGGAATGCACAACCGAAAGCAACCAAGGATGGTTGCCCTGGCAAGAAGAGATCAGGAAGAGGTGATACGGCTCGACAAGGAGATTTAGCTTGGTTTCACGTTGTTTCACGGTTTGTGAATTTCCGATCTCCAAAATTCTGACTTGGTTTTGCAGACGACGCTGGGCTACTAAGCGGCTATTCGCCAGGGAAAGCACAATCTCCGGTGCACTACACTGGTCGTCGCAATGATTCGCCAAGTCCGTTAGTGTCGGATCTTATAGTCTCAATCAGTTCATCCAGCTTCGGGGGGGCTTGATTTCGTGCATGATAAGGAGTGCGGCTTCTCCGTTGCGCTCGAAGCGCCGCGATGCCCTTTTCGGGGCATCGGTATCTTTGAGGGTCCGGGTCCAGGTACCCTTTCACTCTAGACTTGAGGCTTCAAAGGGCGAATCGTGAGAGCTTTTGCAATCGCTTCCGAAGGAGATGGGTAGCCGCACTCGCCACTCCAAGCCGGACGTGAGGCATCTCGGGCTGTAGTTTTAAGGCATTCCAGGGGCCACTGAGTGGGCCGGACCTTCAAAGAGGCAAAAAGGGGGTCGAAGTAGCAAGTAAGAACATCCCCTTGTAGTCACAGTCCTCATGCAACCGGCCCAAGCTCCACTACTATTTTCTTGTCATCACGGGCCCTATGTTGCGCTGAGGTACAAGGTCTTGAGCTTCTGGTTGGACCGCGATACGGACGACGTCACCGGCGGTCGAAGCTTCCACGACTTCTTGGCCTGGGCAGAGGTGGTCTCAGGGAGGTTCTGGTTTTGCACGGAAGGTGGGTGGTACTTGGAGGATCAGAGGACTCAGCACGTAATTGGGGATATCGGCTATCTGGGCTAGATGGTGGCAATTTGCAGTTTCATTTACATTTACCCTGCTTTTTGCGCCAGATACTATGTAAGCTCATGATCGTTTGAGGGTGTCGAGCATGAGGAAAGGCTTCTTCAGCAGGCTTTGGCAACCCTGCAGCTTCATGGTGTAAGTTTTGAGACTGCAGAAGGCAGAAGCTCTGCGGCATCTAGAATTGAGAAGCTCAGTGAGCAAGACTGGTGGCAAGCACAAGCAGAGAGACCAGTGTTCCTGAATGGCAGCGTCGGGAAAATCTGCCCTGCAGGCCGAAGATCCACTGCGCGACATGCCACAGGAGCTTCATTTGGTCATGCGATGCTCCTGCATGATACGCGCTTTGCCGTACCTACTGCGAAGGGGCTGGCAGTCGGTGGGATAAGACTATGAGTGAGATACCGGATTTGGGCTGGATATTCACAGAAAATCCTTCGAAGATGATGGCAGGGTTGCTCGAAGTACTAGGTGACCCAGGCATATCACGCATCTCTTGCTTGCAATACGTAACTGCAGTCGCCTCGACAGACAGACCTCAGCTCGTAACCCCAGAAAGAGTAGAGCCGAAGTTGCTGCTTGTACGCACATATAGGTAACACAGCCTGGTGCCTGTACGCTGAAGCGCATCGATTAAGGATCTCAAGCATACAGTGCGGCCGCGCCAATGTGCTTTGCATACTAGTTGGGTGTGGGCACGAAGACAGCAGTAGCGCTTCTCCGGAGGATCGCGCAGCACACGTACCTTCTGCAACCAAGGTAATTTGGCGCTGACCTTTGGCATCCGGCTGTCCACGGCAGAGTATTGGAGACCAGTGGCACAGGCACTGCTTCAGAAACATGGCGTTGCCTACTGAGATGACATGGGGTGGTGGTTACTCGGCCGAGTCTCATGGGCTGTTGGGAGAGGCCACGGTGGCAAAAGCTGGGAATTGCGGGCGCCGCCTCGGGGGCGATTGCGCCCGCAAATGGCCTGGGCGAGTGCATTGTGTGACTTCGTTCTTCTGGCCGGGCCAAAGTAACTAGGTCGTTCACAACATGCGGGACATCGAAGTGCCATGCAATTTCTGCCCACCGACTCTAGTTTGGTGTCGGTGCATTTGCGATTTACAGGTGCACGAACAACGGCATCGAGGGTTCTGCTTTCAAAGTTTACGGCAATTGAGATGTCTTCACCAAGCCATTGTACGACCACTACTGCGATCAAGAGAGACGCCGCCGCCGCCGCAGGATCGCAAGCCTAATGGTTGCTGTAATTGACACAGGGCCGTAACCAACGACCACCATTACGACGACGACCATGATGACCACTTCCTCGTGCTGGTGCTGGAAAAAGGGTAGCATGACTGTCTTCGAGCGGCGTCTGCAGACAAGTGCAAGTGCTGTCGTTCATGATGACTATTCATGATGACTACAGCACTCAGCCCTAAAACCCAGATCGCGCGAGTCGAAATCCCAGATCGTACACGGCCAGGGGCACCTCAGTCAGACCGCTCCCGCCGCGAGCCCTGCAGATTGAGCAACATCCGACATTCAGGGCATTCCGGGCTTGGGGCAGGGCTGAAAAACCGAGGAGACAGGGCTCACGACCAGGAACCGTTGAACCCTAGCACATCTTCGAATGAGGCCGAGCCACCTCATGCACCGCATCCCGGCACATGGCCAGCACCGCTACGCCGAGGACTTCGCACAGAGGATCTGCAAAGTTTTGTGTATAATATAGTTGCAGCATTACGGGTCTTTGTGGGTATCCTGAACACCACAACCCCGAATAGATGTTTCTTACAGACCTTCAGGCCTGAAGTTCGCAGGTTTGTCCGAAAGGTCGCTTAAGAATCGGCCTTCACTGGCCCTGTGGCAAGTTTGCGTTGCTACTTGCGATGCGAGGAGGTACTAACATCCGGCCAGCATTCTGTTTATTGATTCCACGAGGGCTTATTGGCGACGCGAAAGAAATACCCTAAACCTTGCTTGGCATGTCTCCTTTTTGTTGTGCCACGTCGACTTTGTGCAGCGATGCCTTGCTCCTTACCTGAAGCATTTGTTTCCTGCGTTTCGGTCAGCTGTTTTTTCGACAGCCAGGGAGCACTTTGAGTTAAGTTGGTCGGAACTGCAGAATACACTGCACACAGGGCTACCGTCAAACGCAGTATATGGGATCTAGGGTCCTCGCACATCCATTGCTTCACTTGAAGGACAAGGGCTCCGATTGGAGTGATGTACGGGCAGGAGATCGCCATCCGCGAAAGGCCTAAACCCTATAAACCCTATAAGCCCTATAAACCCTAAACCCCAAACCCTACAGCGAGCTGCGCTCAGTTTGTGTCGTCCTCTGAGGCCAACCATGTGCCCTGGAGTGACATACGGCTCAGTTAAGACAAGCAGACTTTCGCGGACCCGGGCACTTGCTTTTGCCTGGGAGCACTACGAAGTTTGTCTACAGAAGAGATTCACTGCAGGTCTTGCGGAGATGATAGACTTGATTCGTTTGCATGGCATTATGTGAACTGAAAAAGCTTGTGTTTCATGCACTCCACAGACTCTCGAGTAGATTGCGTAGATAGTTAGTCCGCCTGCTCAAACGAGCACCGACAAAATTCGCCCAGCATATAAAATGCTAGGGCTGTTGAATTGGATGTAAGGTGCGTCTTCACACCTGCTCAGGAAAGGGAGAAGGGGACGTTGAGTTCAGAGGTACGTGATGGATCGCAGGGAATGGAGACAGGGTAGGATTTCAGAAAGCGCATTTGTTGGGCAAAGTATCAGAAGGAGTCCCAGAAATTACAGCAGAGTTGGGTCGCATACCGAGGGCCAGAGATGCCGCCGAAACGCGAGGATGCACGTCGGCATAACGATAAGCAGATGCAGCAAGTCCACCTTACACATTGCAAGTTGTACAGCCAAGCGTTTGCTCACCGTTCTTTGCCGAGAGCGCAGATGGACTTGAGAAAAGCACTTGCATCCGGAAGTGTTTAACCGTCCTGTAGCCCCTAGACTGACGAGTTCATGTGTTCCTTTGCCGTATGATGCCCCAGCATTTGCACATCTCTCTGTGTGTGGCCCGAATCCGTCGGCAACCTGGTTTTGTGCCGATACCTGCCTGTTGTGGCATCTTCTACGTGGGCGGCGTGCCGCCAAGGTCAGGACCATGAAGGTGGATCCAACCAGTATCCAACCGTTCCTGGTAAGTACTTCCATACCCCCAGACAAACAGACCTACATCAGCACCAGACACAGAGGCATGGGTGTGATGGTGTAATTAAGTTAAGTACACTTCGCCTGAAAATGGTCGAGTGCGAGTGCCAAGAACTAAGTTAAGTAAGAAGCATATGCATGTATGAAGCTGACAGTCCTAGTTCCCCTGTTAACTGGGTTCCCTGACGTGCTGCCGAATCGGGAGCTACATGAGAAAAGACATCTAAAGGTCTGCACACTGCACTTGTCTGATGTCACCATGAGGAGAGACATCGTACTCCAGTAGCTTCCAAAGGAACCGCCCGCAGAACATAGTATCACGCCGGATGCAGCAGCACCATGCAGTACAGAGCCGTGTACTGCCCTGGGGCTCGAAAGGAGCCTTGGGCTTTGCTTGTTACTTGTTGCATAGACAGATAGCAGGCCCTGCTGATGCTGAAGATGCTGCCAAACCAAGAATCACGCCGCAAAGCCCAGCGCGGTAGTTCAAATCCTAATCTCCATGAAGAAGCTCATCGTACAAGTAAGACTCGTTCTCCCCTGGCGTCTTGAAAGAGTCAGAAGTATCTAAAGACCCACACTTCCTAGCATCTTCCAGCTGCCATGGCACGCCTTCGTCTCCGGCCGTCAGATCCCAGGGTCCGGGCCCCTTCCCAATAGCGATTTTGAGAGCTCGCTGATTACGATTTCTGCCAGTAGTTGGGTTTAGGGTTTTTATGTTGAAGAGGACTTCTCTGTAGAGGAGGCCTCCGGCTTTTCAGGCTGCCTTGGGTGAAAGTCGCAGACTGCTTTCGAGACTGTAGGTGTATTAGGACGCAGGACTGCTCTGGCTCCCGGATGCCGCTGTAGTAAGATCCGGTTGGCATGAAGCTTTCCCAGTTCGGGCAGGCCGAATCTCTATACTGTCTGTACTCGTACTCGTAGCAGCTTCGGCCCAATGTGGGTGTTGTTGAGGCTTCGCATGCCTTGAGCCTTGTGACCTCAGTCGTTTGAGCACACCGCGAGGTTCTCGCAGCAGCTCTTTTGGTGTCCACCAGTCTGCAAGGCTCGGGCCGGTTTACTTGTTGGCTTATACTCCTATGCAGGACTTGCTCTACATTACATGGCACTTGCATTGTTGTTCGGCCTGAAACCAACTTAACCGTTTCATTCGTCAGGCAGTGTGTCCCTCATTCAGCGACATGATATTTGGAGAGGCTAATGGTGTAGGGTGAGGAGGCAGTCGAGAGCTTTAGAGACTTCGTTGCCAACATGAAAGGCGCATGCCACATGTGTGTTTTTTGATGACTGATTTGCCCATCTCTTGCTGGGGGCTGACGACGTCTTCGTAGTTGATTGGAAGGTGTGTCGGTGCTTGTGAGGCACCTGTGAACCCACAAGTCAGCAGGGCTCAAGCTGATTGCTTGTGTTGCGGCCATCTCTTCCAAGCCTAAACCCTAAAGCCGTAAAGCCTAAAACCCTAAACCCTAAACCCCTTTAGCCTAGAACCCTAAAGCCCTATAAAGCCTAAAACCCTAAACCCAAAAGCCCTAAAGTCTTAAACCCTAAGCCCTAAACGGTGTTTTTGCCACTATGCACCAAGACTGTTGCAAGGGGTTACTTGGAGATCCGGTACTTGCAGGGCAGCAAGCATGAATCATCACATCCTAAATTTATCTTAGATTATATACTATATATTATTTATGTATTATATATTATTATATGTTATATATTATATACTACATTTTAAACTTGAACCCTTACTATACCAAAGCTGTGGAAGCTAGGCATCTGCTGTCTCCCATCCTGCATGACCGTCACACACCAGCAAACCAGACTCCAGCCGTGTGCAGATCAGCTGGCAACAGTTTCCTGGGGAGAACTTGCAAAAGTCGATACGTCGAGCCCGGCCATGCAGCGGAACCCTTTTATTTTGTAGGAACTCGACTCACTCTTAACGCGGGTATGTTGGCTTACCGTGGCCTAGACCGGGACGGAGACTTTGTCGACGCGGTTACAGTACTTCATCACATTGCATGATTGAAGCAAGCAGGTCTGAATGCATGGTGCTCTCATCCTACATGCACCCTGCTGGCTTGTGTCCAAAGGGCGATTGGAAAGGGTGCTGCAATCCTTCTTTAAAGGACCATGGTCTCATGTCCGTCCTAGCCTAAATATTCTTCAGCACAGACACCAGATTCCACGGCATGAAGACACCATCAAGCTACTGCCTGACATCCCGGTGAACTTCAGTCCTTGGACCGCAGGCTGTGGCACGTCCAGCGATCCAACATGCCGGGAAAGTGCTCTGTCTGTACACCAGCGGACGATTGCATGGTTTCGGGGAGCCATCACGAGTCTGAAGCCCATTGACGTTGTACAAATCTCCTGTCCTTTAACCTTGCAAAATCTCTGCAGTCTCTGCATGCTGTTGAGAATAAGGGCTTTACTTTCCAGCGCCTCACGAGCAGCTTACATAACTAGCCAACCGCGGCTTTAGCAACTCCCGCATGCCGAAAGTTTGGCGGGGCCACCTAAGGCAATGACCAAGCGTGCTTTGAAAGCGGACTCGTTCGCGGGAAGGTGCATTTCCGTGCTTCAGATGTGCAGGGACACCTGGTAAGCCCTTCTTGAAGTGAGACATGACACCTTTTCTAGGAAGCTCGACAAACACTCAGAAGCC